GGGGTGGGTCGCGGGTGGGTCGCGGGGCGGGTTGCGGGTGGGACGACGACAACAAACAACATCAACAACAAACAACCACAAGAATCCGCATCGCGGAATCCCACTTTAGCAACGCACCCAGGGACAGTGAATGACCGTTCGGCCCCCTCACTCTGATGTATGCATGCATGCATGCATGCATGCATGCGTGTGTGTGTGTGTGTATGCATGCATGTCTGTATGCATGTATGCATGTATGCATGTATGTATGTATGTATGTATGTATGTATGTATGTACGTACGTATGTATGTATGTATGTATGTACGTACGCATATATGTAATCATGCATGTATGCATGCAGGCAGGTAGGTAGGTAGACAGGAGGGTAGGTACGTGTGTATGTATGCGTGTGTGTATACATATATATATACACACACGCACACACTGGAACCACGTGCGCGCTTCGCGCGCGCTTAGGTTCTAGCACGCCCAAGCCCTTGACAAGCTGGCGCGCACAGGTTTGTGGGGCCGTGTGGGGCTTCCTGGGAGCTTTTTGGGGAGCCTCTTAGTGCCTCTTCGCGTACTACTCAGCGTATCGAAACGAAACGAATAAAAAGAAGGAAACCACAAAACACTAAAAAACATCTTCAGCGTGGCACCTCATGCTGTGCGGGCTCCGAGGACGGCTACGCCGCGAAGCAGGAGGTGCAGGAGCCCGACGGCGAGGGCGGGCACCAGCACGCCAATGTGGCGGAGGTGGGCATAACCAACCTGCCCGAGGTCCAAGCGAGCTTCACGGGCGACCCGGACGACGGCCAGGACTTCACCTCCTGCTGCGCGGACTCCGAGGACGGCACCAGAGCATCAACGATGCGGAGATGCGCATCAACGACCTACCGAAGGTCCATGTGAGGTGGGCCGCACAACCAAAGCCCAAGCGGCGCGCGCAGAACAGGCGCGCGAACCAGCGGAATTAGCCCGACACCAAGCTGAAGGCGTGGCAGCACGAGCGGGGCGCTTGGAGCAGTGGGCAGTGGGCAATTGCAGCAGCACTGCCGTTGCTCGCCCTCAGCTTCGCCGCTGCCGCGTGCCCTGGCGAGCGTGGATGGCAAATGGCTGGCCCAGCGGAGGGATCGACGCCCGACGTCTACCTCCACGACGGCGCCGCGGACTTTCATGCGCTTGACGCTGGGGCCATTCAGGAAGTCAGAGCGCTGCAGGCTTTCGCATTTGTTCACATATATATATATATATATGTATGTCTATGTCTATATGTCTGTCTGTCTGCATATCTGTCTGTGTGTCTGTGTGTCTGTGTGTTTGTGTGTCTGTCTGTCTGTCTGTCTGTGTCCGTCTGTCTGTGTCTGCGTGTCTGTCTGTCTGTCTCTGTCTGTGTGTGCGTGTGTGTCTGTGTGCGTCCGTTTATCTCTGCGTGTGTGTGTGTCTGTGTATGTGTTTGTGTGTGTGTGTCTGTGTGTGTCTGTGTGTCTGTCTGCGTGTGTCTGTGTGTGTGTGTCTGTATGTGTCTGTGTGTGTCTGTGTGTGTCTGTGTCTGTGTTTGTGCGTGAGCGCATCTCTGTGTGTGTGTGTCTATGTGACTGTGTGGTGTGTCTGTGTGCGTGTCTGTTTATGTTTGTGTATGTGCGTGTGGGTCTGTTTGTGTGTGTGTCTGTGTGTTTGTGCGTTTGTGTCAGTGCGTATGTGTGTGTGTGTGTGTGTGTGTGTGCGTCAGTGTGTGTGTGTGTCTGAGTGTGTGTGTGTCTGTGTCTGTCTGTGTGTGTCCGTGTCTGCGTCTCTGTGTGCCAGTGAGTCTGTGTGTGTAAGTGTTGACTCCAAGAAACTTGAACGTACCCATCTCCACCGCTTGCCGAGTTCCCGCGAAGATCGATCCCCTGGGCGGTGGCTGTGGATAAATCCATACCTCGGAGCAATGACGACCAAGGCCAGAGCCTGCGACCCAAGAAATCCCGAACGTGGACCCCATCACGGCCAGTTCAGCCGGCCCGGGCCGCGAGGATGACGCGGCGCGGCCATCTTCGCGCCCACGCGGGTGGCGTCAAATCACTCGACGGCGTCCGTCGCTTCTGGCTTGGACGCCCCCCACATGGGTGCGGGAGACATGGGCCCTGGGCACGATGCCTAACAGCGAATGCTGTCCAATCCGGCAGCGGTCGCTGTTGGGCCTTCTGTCTCTCAAGTGGACAGCGCCCGCGGCGACGCCGCGGGCGAGGCCTGCTCAACACGGACAGGAACTGCAGTCCGTATTCGCACCCATTCTTGTAAGCGTTTTGACATTGGGCGGCAAGGGGGGCGATGGGGAGACCAGGTTTTACTGCGGCCAGATGGGCTTTGTGCGGCCCGGTGGGCTTGAGTACGGCCAAGAGGGAGGTCTCCGGAGTATACAAATCCTCGAGAACGGTGAAGGCCCACCCTGAAGGGCTTCTTGGCCCCCCTGAAGGGCTTCTGGGGACCTCCTGCAAAGTTTCTTGCCCCCCCGAAAGGCTTCTTGGCTCTCCCCGACAGGCTTCTTGGCCTCCCCTGAAAGGCTTCTTGGCCCCCCTGAAGGGCTTCTTGAAGAGGCTTTCCGCCCCCCTGAAAAGCATCTTGAGCCCTCTGAATGGCCTCCTGAGCCCCCTGAGGAGTTTGTTGGGCGGACGTGCACACGGCTGCGTGTCTGTACATGGGAATAAGCGTTAGTCTATCCCCAACAGACCATCCGGAGGCGATGCCCATGACAATTATCTGGACGAGGGGCGTCGGTCAGCATATGGTGGAGCACGGATGCCAACAATGATAAAGTTAGACACATCGGGAAGCTTCTTGCGGCCATCTTGGCAGCCATCGTTCTGAAAATGGAGGCCGGATAATTCCCCCTTGGGGCAATATTGGGGTGCTCTTGGGGCTCTCTTCGGCCCTCTTGGGGTTGCAGGCGCCGCGGAGCCCAGTCTGAAACAGCGCTTGGTCATGGCGATCACGTGGGACGAGGCGGAGGAGCCGGGTAAGGAAGCAGGAGGAACATGCAGCAGGAGGAGCCGGCAGGAAGGGAGGTGGGAGGAGAAGGAGCCAGCAGGAAGGGAGGCGACGACGACGACGACGGGGATGACTGTGATATTGAAGAAGATGGTGGTGGTTATGATGAAGACGACAACGGCGGTGACGACAATGACGATAAAGATAACGATGATGATGACGATGACGATGACAATGACGATGATGATGCTGATAATGGTCGCCATCATCATGATTATGACGATGCTGATCATGATGATCATGATGATCATGATGATGATGATGGTCATGATGACGATGATGATGATGATGATGATGATGATGGTGATCATCATGGCGATCATTTCCGTGCGGATGGTGATGACGACCATGCAGATCACGATAATCACGAAGATCATCCCACTCATGATCATCATGATGAACATCATGATAATGATACTCCTCCCCTCCCCCTTCTCCCTCTCACCTCCCTGACTTCCTGCTGACGGAGGAGGAGGAGGGACGACTTTCTGCTCACGGAGGAGGAAGATGAGGAGGATCAAGAGGATGAGGACGAGCATGATTTGATGCCGATCGTGCTGCTGATGATGTTGTTGCTGATGCTGGTGGTGGTACCGATGCAGATGCTGAAGCTGAATATGATGATTATGAGGACGATGCCGATGACGACGACGATGACGATGGCGACGATGACGACGGTGTCGATGATGATGCTGCTGATGCTGATGATTGCGATGCTGATGATAATGATAATGATAATGATGATGATGATGATGATGATGATGATGATGATGGTGATGGTGATGGTGATGGTGATGGTGATGGTGATGATGATGATGATGATGATGATGATGATGATGATGATGATGATGATGATGATGATGATGATGATGATAGCGCAATCCCCTGAGAAACGAAAGGTCGAGGTAGCCACATGCAAGCAGCCTGCAGCCTCTACGCCAGCAGCTGGCGCGCCCCCAGCTACGGCCCCACGCCAGCGCCCTCCGCCGCGGCCAACAGAAGGTCGGCCATCCGGGCCGTCAAGGCACCTGACAACCGCTCCGAGAGCTTCCGCGCGAAGTCGCTGCCCAGGCGCCCGCTCGCCTCGCCAGGGAGCACTGCAACGCGGCGTGCCGCGGCTGCCATGTCCGCGACGAAGCGCTGCGCCTGTGGGCCGAGCCGCCCCTCGGCCTCCACAGCGAAGGGCACGACGGCGTCGCCGTAACGCTCCCGCTTGTGCCTCTCAGCGCCAATGGCGGCATGGCCACGGCATGGCGGATGATGATGATGATGATGATGATGATGATGATGATGATGATGATGATGATGATGATGATGATGATGATGATGATGATTAGGATGATGATGATGATGATGATGATGATGATGATGATGATGATGATGATGATGATGACAATGACGATGACGATGACGACGATGACGACGATGACGATGATGATGATGGTGATGATGATGATGATGATGGTGATGATGATGATGATGATGATGATGATGATGATGATGATGATGATGATGATGATGATGATGATGATGATGGCGCCTCCAGATGGTCCTTTGTGCGGCCACCGTCTTCTGGGCGGGAACGCAAGCCCGTAAGGGTTGCCAAGATTTCCAAAGCTAAGAAAAGCAACCTTTACTCATTGCTTTTAAGTGAAGGGCCAGCGCGGGCCGCAATAAGACCCACGTGTCCGCGCGCCGGGCCGCAGAAGAACCCAACGGGCCGCACAAAAGACCAACGGGCCGCACAACAAAAACACTCTCGGGGGGGGGTCTGGCTCAAGACCTCTGATTACTGCGACTGTTTGCAAGAGTGTGGCCTCTGGGGGAGACTCCACCCGCTCGAAACAGGCGCCCCCAAAACAGCCAAGATCTACTCCATGGTGGGGGGAGAGAGAGAGAGAGGGGGTTTTGGGGCCCGCGCCGATCGACAAAACAATGAATAAACAACGATCACCTTTCCGTGCCGCGGGGCGGCTCCTGGGGGCCCGGCTCCTTTGCTGTCTCCAAAGGCCCTGCACCCGCCCAGCGGCCGCAGCAGCGCAGCCGCGCCCCGAGGGTGGATCAGCGTGCGCAGCGCACTGCACTGCCGCAGCGCCATCGCCACGAGACCTCCCTCCCGACGACGACGACGACGCCGCCGCCGCCGCCGCCGCCTCCCGCGCCGCCACCGAAGGACGCCGCCGAGGGCCGCCGAGGACAGCCGAAGGCGGGCCGAAGCTCCACCGACGCCGGTCCCACTGTCGGGCTAGCAGGTGCTATTCGATGGCGAAGCTTCAGATACCTCGCTTCAGCAGCAGGCGAAGGGACATCAACTGGCTGGCTGTAAAGCACCAGGCGCTAGAAGGGTGCATGGCATGTGATGTTCCAGCGATGAGCACAACGATGCGGTGGGCAAAACATGTGAAGCAGTGCTGATGACCTGTGCGACGAGACTGGTACAAACGCAACAAGAATCGGGTGACCGCCTGGTGCGGTTCAGGGCCGCGTCCCTACGGCACGCGGACAAGAGCAAGCCGCAAACCCTGAGCCGATTGGCAATGCAGCGTCAGGCGATAGACGGGCACTGAAGGATGGATGTATTTCGGCACGCATGTGGAAGAAAATCACTTTGTCCATGAACGGCATTTTGCTCCATAGTTGTTACTTCCACCGGGCCTGGGATTCTGGCGTGGGCCCTCATGGGCCCGACCAGGCAACGGAAAGTCGACGGCGGCCAGTTCGCATTCAAATCAGCGGTGGCGCGATTCTCTGGCTGGCGCTATGCAGGGCCCGCAGCAGCCCCCCAGTGAGGTCGTCCCACGCGATGGGGGAGGAGGAGGCTCGGAGGAGGAGTTGAACAAAAACAGCAATGCTGATACGAAGAAGTATAATCACACTAAGCATAGCACTAATAACATGACACCGACGAGTAATACTAATCATATGGTTAATCAAGCAAGAGTGCTATAACAGACACAGGTAATACGAGGACACACTAATAAGACAACGATCAACAATCATAACAAAGAAATCACCAGTGGCAAGACACATACTGACAATGATAAACTTGAACCAACACATGGGCGAAAGGAAGGCAGCGTGCGAAAGGCCTGCGGAACACCCCAGCCCTGCCAATTATGACTTCCACTGGTTTGGGAGGCAAGTGGGACGAAGGCAAGGGAGGGAGAACGAGACAAGGGGGGGCGGACGGAAGGGGAAGGAGGAAAGGAGGACAAGGGAGGAGGGAGGGAAAAAGGAGGGCGGAAATAGGATGGCATGGGGGGACAGGGAGTTCTTTACGCCTTGAACTCAGCAGAAGATCTTGCACCCGACGAGGCGAGACCAGGTGCAAAATACTTGTGCGAAGGCGACGAGCCTTCGGGGGCACAGTGTGACCGACGAGCCTCGGGCCTTCGCCACCCGCGCGGCCCACCACTGAGCAATGGGGCGAGTCAGAGGACAACGACGCGAGACGATGGGTGGCGCACAGACCAGAGGGGTCTTGCCTGACAGGCGTGTGGTTCATCCCGACAAGCTAAAAACCAAATAATTATACACAAAATGGATGAGCCAACAACTCATCACACGGGCCAGGGGCAAACGAAACGGGAGGAGACCCGGCAAGGAATGAGAGCTTAGTCCGTGTTGGGGTATCCCTCATGTGGCTCAGGCCGGCATCCTTTTCCTCCCCGAGGGCGCCAGCCACCGTCCTTAGCTGATCGGCTTGCGCAAGAAAGCAGTTGAACTCCGCCCTCCACCTGTCATCCTCGAAGTCGGGACCCAAGGGATCGCGAAGGGAGGGAGGTGTTTGGGAACTAAAATCGGGGTCCAAGTCCGATGTCCTGAGTGGGCAACCAACTGTCAGCTCACTCCTCTTGGGATGGCGGCCGCGACTGGACAATGACCATATCCACTCTCCGAAATTCGAAAGCTATGGATGACAAACTTCCATCAGGCCTTTGAACATACCGTGAAAGCTGTAAGCTTTACGGACCTGACAAACGAGCGATTTGTCTGCGATCCCGGGAAGCATTCTCATCCAAGGGGAGATTCGAAGCTCCCAGGCAAGGGGAGCAAAAGCGATCTACTGGGGCACTTCTCACGCGGCATTTTCACTATTCCCCCACATCTCCAGAATGATCTGAGGTGCCTCCAGGAGTGACCGAAGCCAGGAAGCCGAGCTGGTTTTGGAGGCGGCACGTACTCGACCTCACCAAACTCCCCGAGAGACTACACTTGTGGCAGGAGATGC